GGCTGAACTATGCTTTAAAGTCACGTCTGCTTCTATCGCTCCATTAACACCGTGTTTCTAAGTGTTCACAGAAGTTAAACTATTGCGTAAAAGGGATTGGTTGTAATTAGTAGTTTGTAGTAATACAATAATTGTACAGTCACTGTTTACAATGATTTTAACGACACAAAAAAGTTAAAGTCTCCCAAATTTATGGACCGGGGGGAACAGTTGCTCCTGATTTTTACTCGGGGTATTGAAGCAGATAGTTAAAAACCGCTTTGCTGTGAAAAATGCAGATAAAATGCAAAGAGACTGGAGCTTAAATACCGCCATCAAAATACAGAGTGTGCCTTTTCAACAACATAAAACACATTCTAATAGAAGTATTTCCATTTGTTTCTCAGCCGTTGTGTTCCCCCTTGACAAACGGAAGAAACCCGGTCTCGTGGCTTTTACCGTGCCCCCTTTTTAAAAAAAAAAGAGCAAAAGGCCATTTTTTTACTATCGATTCAATAGCCACTAAAATTGAGGAAAAGAAAGCCTCTTCAAGCACAAAACAGATGACTTTATTTGGTCACTGTTGTATGAAATTGTTCTTCCTTAAAATTAACCTGTATTCCTCAACTCTACGATGACTAAAATAAAAATAAACTAGTATTTTCTTCCCTTGACCCTAAACCTTTGGGAAAACTTCCTGCCCACTTGCAGCAGGGGGTGAAGAAGGGAAGGGAGAGACAGGGCCCACGGCCTCCTCCTACCCAGCGCCTCCTCACCACGGGGACCAGCACACGTCTCTGGGGCTCCCCCTCGGGAGGACTGGCAACGGGAGCCTTGACTGACTCCCCCCCCCCGCCCGGTATTCCCCATATGCACCACCACACACGGACGATCGAGAGGGAGGGGGGGACCACCGTGTGGGGTCACACAGAACACGGCCAGCTTCAAAGGCCTGCCAGGGAAACCCCGGCCCCTGTGTCTTCTCTCGGTCCCGGCCCCTTTTTGTGGAGATCCCTAAGTCTGGGAGCGGGGCCAGGCTGCCTGCCTGCCGGGGTCAAAGAGCCTGAAGACACGTGTGACAGCCCCTGCCAGGTCAGAGCAGCCGGGGCCAGGGAACAGCTGCTCAGGGGACCTCCGGGTGTGTGTGTGTGTATGTGTGTCTGCATCATTTTTTTACTATGCGAACTGGACCTTGCAGTCTCTCGGCCTCATTGGTCAACATTTCCAATCAGCTTGAGATGTTTATTTCATACCAGAAATATGCCTAGTTATGCTCGGCATGATATGAGATCTTTGCTACAGTCTTCCTCGACCCACAAAAGCATCGCCAGAATAATTACAGGGGAAGAACGCGTGCATGCCTGCATGCAAAGAAAACCCAAACAGAAAGGCCCAAAATCTTGCTAAAAACCAACAGATCCTGGTGTGCTTCACTTCACTTTGTGTCAGGGAATGGATCAGACCCCCACCCCCGGCGAGTCAGGGTGCCAGGCCCTGCCCGGCCCACACCGAGGGCAGCGAGTAGGTGGGAGACGGCAAGAGACCCCCCCCCGTGGGGGGGTTGGAGCATCTCCTGGGTGCATGCGGGGGGGGGGGGGGGGTCCCAGGCGGCCGAGTATCCCCCGTGAAGAGGGGCTGGGTGATGGGAAGGACCCCCCCCTCCTGAGAGCTGCCGCCAGCCAGAGCAGACAAGACTGGCCCTGGGAGCACCTTGGCAGAAGGCAGCTTCCTGCGCGCACGGGCGAGTCCCCAGCCCCCTCCGGGCCTTCCCCCCACCCCCACCCCCCACCCCGCTTCTGACGCGAAACGTGAGGTGCCGACCGGCCCGTCCTGCAAAAGGAGCCCTTCGTTACATCTCCAGCCCTGCGGGCACGGTGGTCCCAGAATCCCACCCCAGCGGGCACGGCGGCGTCTGTGGGCGGGTAGCGCCACGTTCACTCTGAGCGCCCCCTGCGGCACACGCCAGGAGCAGCAGCAGCAGCAGCTGGAGCCCTGAGGCCTGGATGCTGTGCTGGACAGAAGCGAAGGGCTCCTTGCTGTGGGCCGTGAGGGGCTCCTTGCTCCCGCACCCATGTGGCCGCCTGTAAGGGGAGGGCCAGCTTTCCGTGTCACAGTCTCTCCGTTTCTCTTGGCTCAGGAAGGACGACCCTCAAGGGGCAGCAGGAGACTCTTCGGAGGTCCCTCGGCGGTGTCGAAGGCTCTTCTCCTCGTCCTGAAGGAAGGGAGAGCATGGCGCCGTGAGCCACTTGGGAGGCACGGCAGAGGCCTGCAGCCAGAAGCCCTCTTCCCGCCAAGCGGCCCGCTGGGCAGGCCTGGCCCTGCTGCCTCCCCGCTCCCCTCCTGCGCAGCCAAGGTGGGACCAACGCTCCCGTCCCTTCACAGACACTGCGCTCCAGTGGGCAGGGAGCTGTGCCGAAGCCTTCGTGGAAGAGGAACTGGAAGGCGGTGAGAGACGCAGACAGGGCTGAAGCCCTGGTTGACTCCCAGCCGCGAGA